TTTATTTTTTTAGTTCTACCACTTTATTGCTACCAACCCACCTCCCTCCACCCTTGTGCACACATGCTCAGTCATGTAACCCCATGGACTGCAGCCCACCAGGCTCCTCTGTCCATGGACTTTTCCAGGCAAGAATACTGGAGTGGGTTGCCATTTCCTTCTTCAGGGAAGGCTGCACTTTAAAAAGGAGGATTTGGTGGCATCCTGGGAGGACCATGTCCATGAAGTCTGCTGGGGATGGCAGGAACGGACAGACACAAAGGCTTAGAGACGACTCTTGTGGGAGATGAGGTACCCCCTCTTTTGGGGCAGAGAGGAGAGTTCTTACCTGGATCTCAGCGTGGTGGACCTGGGCTGCTGCCGTGGCCACCTGGTCCTCCAGATCTGCCAGTTCAGTCTCATCTGTGCCACTGTGGATGCATCGGGCAGCGTCCTCTAGCTCACTCAGCTGGCCTTCGAGTCCGTACACGGTGCCTGCCGCCAGGTACACCTGCAGAGGAGGCATGGCCTTTGAGCTCAGGTCTGTGGACCCGGGACTGGGGGGGCCCTTTCAGGGGATGCTATAATTCAGGGGAGTGAGAAAGAATTAGACTCGACATTGGGAAAAAGAGACAGGGAATCCCCCATTTACATTCTTTACATTCAAGTGGTAACATAAGGTCTTGCCACCCCCTCACTGTCAGCCACACACCCTCTTCCCCCAACCTTTCCTGCAAGAAAATATAGTTTGCAAATTCTAAAAATATGATAACATAGTATTAAAATACATGAGATAAGCTACATAAATGTTGAATTTGTCCAGCAGCTATAACAACCATAGTATCAAGACAGAGGAAACAAGGAGAAAAACTCATGACGTAGTTTTTCCAACAAAAATTTTAGTTGGCATTTAGTAATTGGGAGAAATTCAGAGAACATGAAAGAGGTGAAATTAATTTAAAACAATTACAAATTTTGAGTGAATTATGTCTGAACAGGTACTATTAGCTTTCTTGAATCAGGTTAAGGGAATGAAAAGGAATCTGAAATTTGTAATACTTTATTTCTGAGAAAATAGTATGATGTTGAGAAGCATGTAAAATCTGTTTAATGTAAGACAGCTAGTAAAGAATCCGCCTGCAATGCCGGAGACCTGGGTTTGATCCCTGGGTTGGGACGATCCCCTGGAGAAGGGAAAGGCTGCCCATTCCAGTATTCTGGCCTAGAGAATTCCATGGATTTTATAGTCCATGGGGTCACAAAGAGTCAAACACGACTGAGTGACTTCCACTTTCACTTTCACTGAAAATTAAAAAGAAAATAAGATAGAAGTAATTTGAGGGAAAATTAAAAGAAAAATTACTTTGGCTTATGGGTTTATAATGTGATTCTCATAAAAGTGGCAAACAAGGAAATTCCTGGTGGTCCAGTGGTTAGGACTCCAACCCTCCACTGCAGGGGGCACGGCCTTGATTCCAGGCCAGGGATCTAAGATCCTGAAGCCTGCATACCATGTGGCGAGGTCAAAAAACAAAAATGTGGGCAAACAGAAAGTGAATCTTTCTGGAATAATTGAGGCCATTGGAATAATTCAGGCCGAGGGATGTCAGTCAGGGTGAATGAAACAAATGCTCTGGAATAATTGAGGCCATTGGAATAATTCAGGCTGAGGGGATGCCAGACAGGGTGAATAAAACAAATGCTCCTTCAGCCTAATTAACAATGGGATGAAACACAGGAACCAGATGTATCTAGAGAAGGTAATTAATTAAAGAGAGATATATGAGGTTTAATCAATGTATATAAAGCTCTAAACATGTAATCGCAATCATTTTGAGTTGATCTGAATGATATGCACTGCCCCTACGTTAACAGTTCTTTTAACTTGAGGTAAAAATATAACAGTTATAACCTCAAAAAAAAAAAAATATAACAGTTATATTTGCAAGAGCCGTGCACATAGATGACTTGCAGTGAGTGATGCTAAGTGTTGACGAGGAGGGCAAAGGCCCCTGAGATACTCCAACTCGGTCAATTCCTTGGCATGATGCATACATCTGCGTGAAAACTGGCAATTTTACAAAACTTTCCAGTGTGGAACAAAAGCAAGTGCAGGTGTGATGAAAGCAAATTCGATTGTGCATCACCAGATACAACTAGCTGGGCTGTGGGAGCTTCCAGCAGTGACTGCCACGTCTGGAATCACTTCGGGTGATTCATCGGTCACACAGGGGTCATACATCGAATGTCCGCTGGCCATCGCCCTATTTCAGTTTGCCCTTAGTGTTCTATTTCTTTATCACATGCAAGTATTAGAGAACTTCTGTTTCTAAAAGATCTTCACAGTTTAATATAGCCATATATTCTTTATCTTCAAAATAAGAAAAACTTTTATTTTTGTCCGATGAAGAAAATGATGGCTACTTCAAAGCTATTTGAGGGGAGAAAAAGCTGTGAGGTTGAAAAATTATCTTCAGAAAGGGAGAAAAAATAAAGACAGAGAGAGAGGAAAGAAGAAGTAGGAGAAGAGGAAGAGGAGGAGGAGGGAAGGGGAGAGAGGAGAAAGATCAGAGAGATGGCCATGACAGTTTGAGTTTGGATATTGTATTTTTGGAACCCACACCCAAAATGGTGAATTTATTTTGATATGATCATTTAAAACATAAACAGAGCTTTGCACAGTGAACCAAAATTTGTAATTATGATTTAAATAAAATGAATAATTTAAGTGTGTCCGTGGTTAAACGTGACTTGACATAAGGTCTCATAACCTTGATATTTCCAGGAACATGGAAAACTAAATGTCATTATACCCTATGGCCATATCAACTTAATAGCATCTTGTTGTTCTCTTGCCAACATAGTCATCCACTAACATTCCTTATTTTCTCTGCCAAGACAAAGCAGTATGAAATCGCTGCAAGTCCTTAGCAAGGCCAGAATGTTCATCTTTGACTCTGTGTCCCCTGAAAGCCTGCTTTCCCGGCACTAGCGTGGTGGGGGGCGGTTCAGAGGTTTGGCACTGACACCCATTCTGCAGGAACTTATAGGCAAGGGGGTGGCGCCTGAAGGATTAGAGGAGGGCGACGATGGTGGTGATGCTGACGATGATCATGACAGGTATTTATCGAGCCAGAGGGCTGGTGCCAGAGTTCATGCCTTTACCCACCCTGCCCTGCGACGGTGTGCTCAGTCACGTCCAGCTCTTTGGGACCCCATGAGCTGGAACCCACCAGGCTCCTCTGTCCTTGGGATTTCCCAGGCAAGGATACTGGAGTGGGTCGCCAATTCCTCCTCTAGGGGATCTTCCTAACCCAGGGATCGATCCCCTGTTTCCCACATCTCCTGCATTGCAGGTGGATTCTCTACTGCTGTGCCACTGGGGAAGTCCAATCTATGATTACCATGATACTTAATCTCAATTGGAATGTTATTACAATTTACATTTCAAACTTTGGCATAAAGCTACCAGAGTTACCGTGGTTATAGATGGACATGATACTGGCTCTGTGGCAGGCTGAAATAACAAGAATTAACATGCTATATAATGAAAATGTTATTCTAGTCTTAAAAATAACCCATTTGAAAACTGTTAACTTGTTATTGCTTGCTTAATTACGGTGCACTTTTGGCAAGAACTATGGTTACCACATCTGAGTAATCTGTGTCCCCTCCAAATTCTAGTTACTGGTGCCTGTGTCCCCACTGACTGGCTCCTGGTTCAACAAGCCTTTTTTAAACATTTCAGTGGATGAGAATAAGTGTTTCATTAAGGAAGGACATTATGGTCAAAGCCCCTAGGATACAGAACATTAAACAGATTTCTTATTGTAGAACTTCTCAGAGACTTTAATGTGCTAACATGTATCTCAGTTTTCCTAGAAAGAGTTTATGGGTTTCTCAAGCTTGTTTGATCTTAGAGCATCTTGTTGGACTTGACTTCCATGAAATACACTTTAGGAGACTAAGGTTAGACAGTAACAGATAGCATTTCTTTTCTTTTTCTCTGAGAGCAGAGAGCTATGATCACTTCCAGAAGTTCTATCTCACCTGTGCTGTGTAGGGTGTACAAGGGCTTTGAGAAGGAAGATCAGCCTCCTCTGCCTGGTCTTGGATTGTGGGGCAGAGGTGGGTGCCCCCGTGGCTGTCCCACTGTGCCTGCTACCACCAATTGCATCCTACAGAGTATTTGGTATCGGTGAAAGTTTTAGGGCAGAAGTAAAAAACTAAGATCATGGCACCCAGTCCCATCACTTCATGGCAAATAGATGGGGAAACAATGGAAACAGTGACAGACTATTTTCTTGGTGTCCAGAATCACTGCACATGGTGACTGTAGCCATGAAATTAAAAGATGGTTGCTCCTTGGAAGAAAAGCTATGGCCAACCTAGACAGCATATTAAAAAGCAGAGATGTCTCTGTCAGCAGAAGATCTTTAGATGGGGGTATAGTGGTGAGGGAGCCCACTCATCCTGCCCCCTCACAACCCTGCATAATCCCACAAGGTGGCCACGGTGGATTCCCCCATTCACACCACAGGTTTGAGAATGGTCAAGCTGGTTATTCTCTGTTGATCCCTAGATCCATTTTCCATTCTTCTCTGCTCTGTTCTGTTCTCTGTGAGGCTGACCTATACAGACTTTACCATCAAGGATCCCTTGCTGGCAGGGATGGGTTTAGCCAATGAGAAGATCAAAGGCAGGAGGAGAAAGAAGTTAGAGCCTCCCCCCATCCCCTTTCCTTCCCGGATTCCGTGGCAACAGCTTCCACTAGGGGATGCTCTTCCAGGCTCCCGCTCTCCCTGGGCTATAATGGCTTGGGGGCGGTGGCTACTTCCTCCTACTGCTACTCTCTGGGCACTGCAGCATCCCTTAACCTTACCCAGACCTGAGTCAATACTCACTCCTGAAACTCTCTGCTCCCAGCCAGACCCCTAAAGGTACAGTAGGACCCTGTGCTTCAGAGGTCCCCAGGCATTCAGTCTGAGAAACTGAGTCTCCACTGTGTGTGTGCAGGGAAGGCTGGCATTGCTCTGAGTTTCCTCCCACCTTTAGGTGAGACAGAGCTGACTTTACAGCCAGGCAGCAGGTTAGAAGTGTCAAAGTTAAGAGACTAAGGAAATTCTAAAATCCCTATTTGTTGTTGTTCAGTCGTGTCCAACTCTTTGCCACTTCATAGACTGAAGCACGTCAGGCTCCGCTGCCTTTCACTATCTCCTGGAGTTTGCTCAGATTCATGTCCGTTGAGTTGGCGATGCTACCTAACCATGTCATCCTTTGCACCCCCGTCTCCTTTTGCCTTCAGTCTTTCCCAGCATCAGGGTCTTTTCCAATAAGCCCATGCCCCTCTCCCCCCAATTAAGTGGATTAACAAGGCAGTTCATGGAAACAGGAGATTTGACGTGTGGATGTGACATATTTCATTTTATGTAGCTCTGAAATCTTCATAAGTCTACATAAAGGTGGACATTCTCTTGAAAATCTTCTCTTTATCTCAGAGTCTTGGTCTGCAGAAGCCAATGTTCAGAAAGCAGACTAAGTGTTGCCATTTCTAGTTCTGCTGGTCCCTGGGCTCCTTGGCACAAAAGAGAAAGGCAGCAGAGGAATGAGGAGCAGGAGCGCTCTTTAGAACACAGACAGACAAAAGCCCTGCTTTAATTAAATCAGCTGCACCCAGACGCCAGTTTAAGAATCAGCTCTGCCCTTCTCCTGCTGCTCAGCTGAATTCCACCCTGGAAACAGCAGAGCAAGCGACCTGCCCATGGCTCTGTGATCTGGGGAACTGAGGAGATAAAGAAAAAAGTCATCCCCTCCATGACTCAAAGACCCAGAGAATTCAAAGGAACACAGATGTAATAATCTCTTTAGAGGTGAAATTTGAAAAGCTGGACGGGGTAGGGAAGGAGGTGGAAGTAGGCAGTTAACTCTTTGTGAACAGGAGAGGCATCTCAGAGGGTCTGTACGGGGAGCAGGGCGCTGTAATCCCCAGCCTTCCACTGTTGGCCTTTCTGACATCCTGAATCAGCGGCTAAGAGGATGAGTTTCGGACTCAAAGTGTTAACGCGCCCACGAAAAGAAACGTGATGTACAATAAAAGGATCTTACAGTATGAAAACTCTGCCAAGGCCATTGTATTTTTCAATACACTCCTTAGAGGAAAAGAAAAAGGCATGCTGTCTTTGCTTTCAATGTGCCATGGGGTCTGGCCGCTGTCATTTAAATCTGGATTATTTCATGCATTGTAAGTTTTTTGATATCATACTTTGTAAAAAGAAAATTCATCCCTTCCTGGTTAACCATATCTTTAATCTTTTCAACTCTGTGTGTGCAGGATTAGGGCTACTTGAGGAGTAACAGCACCTGAAAGCATTGTTACAGGCATATTTGAAGAACAGAGACCTGCACATTAGAAGTAAAACAGTGCTTTTAAAAATGTACCCTATTCATCTGATGTAGTCTTGTACTGGGCTTCCCAGGTGGTGCTGGTGGTAAAGAGACCATGGGAGAGGCCAATGCAGGAAACATAACAGCCTCAGGTTTGATCCCTGGATTGGGAAGATCCCCTGGAGAAGGGCTTGGCAGCCCACTCCAGTTTTCTTGCCTGGAGAACCCCATGGACAGAGGAGCCTGGCAGGCTACAGTCCATAGGGCCGCCAAGAGTTGGACACGACTGAAGTGACTGAGCACACATGCACGCATGCAATCATGCATCAGATAAACATTTCTTGGGCGCCTCCTCTGTGTCAGGCTCAGGACCAAGGGTGAGGACTATCACTAGGAAAGGCAGCAGGTCCGGTTCTGTAGGAATTTATATATCTGGTTTCCAACTCGGGCATGACTGTGCCATAGTCTTATCTCATGCCCCCGCTAAGATTTGACAATGTCTGGAGACACTTTTGACTGTCAAATCTGGGAGGGTGCCCCTTCCAGCATTGAATGGGCAGAGACCAGGGATGCTGCCAAACATCCCATCCTACAATGTACAGGACAGCCCCCACAACAAAGAATTATCTAACCAAGAATGTCATTGGTGCTGATCTAACGGGAGATATATGAGTGAACTGAAAGGGCCATGAAGTGAGGCAGACACATGCGTAGGTTTTATGGGAATCCAAACGGACAGAGTCTTCCACTTTTCAAGTAAAACTAATTTTTTTTTTTTTAACTTTGAATCATTTATATTTGTTGTTTCAACTTCTGGCAAAAAAAAAAAATCTTGCTAATAACATGTCCTGGTTTCTGAGAACACCATTCATTAGAACATCTCCAAATTAGAGTTGATCCTGCTGAGTCTGGAAAGATGGAATCACCTGACTGGCTTTGATATTGGGACTATGCCAACTGTGATGGCAATGATGGCCTGTGTGGTCATGTCCAAATTTCTTTGTGTCACTCCTAGTTGCAATGCATTGTTGGAAATTCTCATTGAACCTTCAGTGAGGTCTTTAAAGTGACAGTAGATATCTGTCTGTAAGAATGTATTTCTTTCTTTCCTCACTAGTTGGAAGGACAGAAAAATCCATTACAAGCAGACCTATCTGTGAGGCACAGCAGACCAGCTGCAGTAACCTAAGCTCTGTTGGCAACCACTCTTACTCTGTGGGATCCCCGTGGATCCCTTATATAAGTACTGCTCACTGCCCTCCCCACTCCCAAGCTGGGGTGTGCTTTTGGTTCTAATAGCTCAAACCTCTGCAGAAGACTACCTTTGAGCTCCTGTAGACACTTTGAAAGTGAAAGTGTTAGTCACTCAGTCGTGTCCTACTCTTTTGCCAAACATCCCATCCTACAATGTACAGGACAGCCCCCACAACAAAGAATTATCTAACCAAGAATGTCATTGGTGCTGATCTAATGGGAGATATATGAGTGAACTGAAAGGGCCATGAAGTGAGGCAGACACATGCATAGGTTTTATGGGAATCCAAACGGACAGAGTCTTCCACTTTTCAAGTAAAACTAATTTTTTTTTTTTTAACTTTGAATCATTTGTATTTGTTGTTTCAACTTCTGGCAAAAAAAAAAATCTTGCTAATAACATGTCCTGGTTTCTGAGAACACCATTCATTAGAACATCTCCAAATTAGAGTTGATTCTGCTGAGTCTGGAAAGATGGAATCACCTGACTGGCTTTGATATTGGGACTATGCCAACTGTGATGGCAATGATGGCCTGTGTGGTCACAAATTTCTTTGTGTCACTCCTAGTTGCAATGCATTGTTGGAAATTCTCATTGAACCTTCAGTGAGGTCTTTGAAGTGACTGTAGATATCTGTCTGTAAGAATGTATTTCTTTCTTTCCTCGCTAGTTGGAAGGACAGAAAAATCCATGACAAGCAGACCTATCTGTGAGGCACAGCAGACCAGCTGCAGTAACCTAAGCTCTGTTGGCAACCACTCTTACTCTGTGTAGTGGTACTGGCAACATTCCACATGGATCCCCACGGATCCCTTATATAAGTAGTGCTCACTGCCCTCCCCACTCCCAAGCTGGGGTGTGCTTTTGCTTCTAATAGCTCAAACCTCTGCAGAAGACTACCTTTGAGCTCCTGTAGACACTTTGAAAGTGAAAGTGTTAGTCACTCAGTCGTGTCCTACTCTTTGGGACCCTGTGGATGGTAACCCGCCAGGCTCCGCCGATGGGATTCTCCAGCCAAGAATACTGGAGTGGGTTGCCATTCCCTTCTCCAGGGGATCTTCCTGACCCAGGGATCAAACCTGAGTCTCCCGCATTGCAGGCAGATTCTCTACTGTCTGAGTTGCCAGGGAAGCAGACAGTTTGCATGCATGAAGAGAGACTGAGGTACCTGCTGGCTGTAGGAAGGGCAGGTTCGTTTGTCTTAGGACAACTCTAGATGCAACTCACACTCTGGGAGTTGCCTGCAGGTTTGGGCTTACTCTCTGTCTAAGGTTATAGCTTTGCTTGACTTCTTCCCTTGTCCTATTCCCTTATAAGTCTCCCCTGGGAGCACCTCCCTAATAAATCGGTTGCATAGAAATCATCATCTTGGGGTCTGCTTCTGGGGAACCCAATCTAAGACCCTTCTGAGAATATATATGCTACACCAGTGATATGTTTGTGTCCTCGCCCTCTGTGATGAGTTACAACATCATCAGCTTCTCCTTTGCACATGTGTGCCCTAAGCAGAGCACATCCACATTGTCTTACATTTTCCTCCAGGGAAGTCAGCTGCTCATCCAGTCTCACTTGGTCTGTTCCAAGAGGAAATGTCCCCTTCTCTCCGTCAGGAGGGACAGGTGGGAACTCCCAGGGCCCTGCAGACTCAGCGATCAACTCCTCCGTGGCGTTGATGACTTTCAGGACTTCTGTGGAGATGTTGCAGAGAGAAACAGCAGAATACTTCTGTTTGGTCCAATAACAGAAGGGGACAGAAGACAAGAACAACATTAACAATGACATGGAAATTCTACATCATCATGGTGCTCATCATGAGATTGATTCTGTCATAACACACACAAACATCAATGTGCGGAAGGAATGAGAATCTCTAAAATATCTACCCAGTCTGAGGGGACTGAGAGGAGGCCTGATGTGACTTGGCTGAGCTTTTGTGGCTCACAGTGAATTATTTCAGATTCTTAGGGAGAGAGGGAGGGGAGCTCAAGTGGAAGTTACTAGGTCCTTTGCCCACTGCTGATAGTTTCATATTCATCACCTCGTTATCTGGATAATATTCTCTTTCTTCAGCAGACCTTCAGTCACAGACTCTGTCAAACTACATTCATGATGTAGTTCAGTGGGTCGCTTTCTGGACGAGGAGTTGAGGTGGTCTGCGCTCTAGATCTGGCTGTAATTTCATCCAGACGTGGGACCTTGGTCAGGCTACTTCCCATTTCTGGAACTCAGTTCTGTCATCTGTACATGAAAGGATTGGAAAGACTTTCTCTGCAGCCGCTTGGTAGCCACTGTGTTGTTAGCTTACTCACATCTATTCTCAAGCCCATTCTTCCTTGCCTTCCTTCACCACTGAGGCTGAACAGGAATTTCCCAGCCTCCCCTGCAGCCAGGGGCAGTCATGTGACATGGTTCTGCCCAGTGAACCTGCAGGGAAAGCCTGTTGGGGTTTCTAGCAAAGCTTTTGTTTTCCTAATCAGGTGAACAGATACAGATGCTCTCCTGCCCCTGCCTTGATCAGAGGTGTGCAGTTAGGAAGTCAACATGAGTGAGGATGATATCAAAATGCTGAGTCAGGTGGATGAGAAAGACTGAAAGGGCCTGGCCCACACAGACCCTGCATCAGCTGTCCTGCTTCGACTCTCCCTGCCTCTGAAAATGCATGAGAAAAATAATTCCCTGCCTGTTGGAGCCCTTGTGGGCCAGACTTTCTATTATTTATGGTCGAACACATTTCTGGCTGACACAATTCACTTCTAGTTTTTGTATTTGTGACTCAAAGTTATGATCAGTCCAGATCTGGGCCAAGGTCTTTGATGGAGTGGAGGTACTTCAATCACAAAGAATCATCTGCATCTTTGAGTTCATCTGAACATATAGCACCAAGTAATAAGAAGGAGATCAATGTTGCTTGGCAGTAATGGTGTCCATCTATAATCAATTTTACTTAGTCCATCAGAGGGTTTGCAAACTGGAAATTCAAATCTTGCCCATTTCCAGGAAAGCCTGGAATTTTAATGCCTTTGATACCTCCCAAGGTATCCATCTGATTCATATAATCTGGACCAAATATTAATGACAGCTCTGGCTTGATCTTGCAAAGTGTGTTTCTCCAGGTAAATTCTACTACAGGTGCCGTCTCACTGGAGGAAGTTTTCAGTGGCCCTGCAACTTCTCTAGGAAATCAAAGTGTCTAAGTGACAAGTCTGTGGCTGAGTTCACAGTGTAGAAGCTGGCTCTGGGCTCTGGCACATGGTCTCATACTAGAGTCTCACCCTGGCATCTGTCAGTCATCCTAGGGTTAAGGTGCATGTGCTCGGGGGCAGCTCTCCAGTCAGTCTGTTCTGTAATAGCTGCTTGACTCATCCAAGAGTTATGCTTCTTTTGGTTCAAGGGACTTCACTACATACCAAAAAATCGGTCTGAGTTATCAGGAAAATGAGAGGGAGGGAAGGCAACGCAGATCCGCCAGACGAAGGGTGCTGTCCAAGGAAGAGTCAAGCCAGCCCTTAGGAAAAACTTGCAGAGGCTGTACTCCATCATCCAGAATCCTGTAACTCAGTGTTTTAGAGACGACCTGGACTCAAAATGTTTTGGCATGAAGTAACCACCTTCATTTGCTGAAGTCCATTTTAGAAAAGGCAACACTGTACATATGAAAACAGACATGTTACCCTTCACTTAGTAGATAAAGCTTATATTTAGAAAGTTTGCCCTTTATTTGGTAGAAGAGGTGCCTCCGTACATCTTTTGAGAAGAAAGACGTGTAACTAAGGGATTCAGAAAAAAAGTTAGATGGTAGCATGATGGAAGGGCAAGTATGAACATTAACACACACCTCCCATTGCTCCAGGGTTGTTAAAGGGCTAAGGACCTAAATGGGAAGGACATAAGAGGTGCTTAATCAGAAAGAGTTATCTGCATCGTGACGCCCACAGAACATACAATATCAAAGTGATGAGCTGGACATCAGTGTTGCTTGGTAGTCATTTTTCCTTTCCATCCCTAAATAGCCTTGTTTATTCAATCATAGGAGTTGCCAGCTGGAAGCCAAATAGTGCCTAGAGGCATGTGGTTTTTTCTTTTTCCCTGACAAGAATGCCTTCTGTGAGATAAGCGCCTCCCAGTTCTCTGCAGTCCCTGCCACTAACTTGTCTACATCTTTTATTGGGGGTTGGTGATGTGCTGATTCTACCCCAGGTGCTGGGAAGAAGCAGTGAACAGTGGGTGAAGTCCCTGCCCCCATGGCGTGTCTTCACCTCCACCCAGGTGACCTGACATGGGGACATACTTTCCTGACCCCCTGAAAGTATTTGCATTTGTCATTAATTGAGAGTGAGCAGTCACCGGCAGCTGGTCTGTGGAGAGCACCAGAGTTTTGCTCACAAGGTCTGTGGTCCCATTCAGAAGGCAACCAGCCTCCAGCTGGGGAAGGGACTGAAAAAAAAAATTACATGGAAACTGGACAAGATCACTCTGGTTGGTTGATGTCCCAGTTCAGCTCTCTACTGGGAAACACAAACTGGAACCCATGAACACTTGGGGGGAATTTATCCCATCTCTAGGAAATCAGATGTTTCTTGCCTGTTCTACAGGAGTGTTGCTGACTTGCTTGGATGTGAGCACAGGAGTGGACGGGGCACCTACTGGGAGTGAAGATAAGTGGGATTTAATTAGTTGTGTGATAGGAGCAGGGCACCCAACCTCCTCATTCCTTAGTTAACTCACTAGCCTAAGAAGAGATTAGATTTGTCACAAGGCTCACACTGTCTTGTTATGTAAATGTCCTGTTCCCTGCCCAGTCTAGATTTAAAAGTCGAAAGCACCGTCTACAATTGTGTGAAATAAAGCTATATTTAGCGCCGGACAGGGTTTTGTTCAGCTGAAAAAGCTGGTAAGGATTCAGAGGTGCTGGCAGGGAGCCCTGTATGGGGGAGAAACGAAAATCTAAAGCAGCCTTCCTGCTTTATTGCTTACAGCCTCAGAGACACGAGCGGAATGGCAAAAACAAAGCATGATTCCAGAGCCAGAGAGGGCTTTCTACGATGGCAGCTGACGTTACTCCTCACTTTCATTGTAAGATAGATCAAATGTGACAGGTCCATGGTATCAGATAAGGGAGAGGTGAACGTGTGGAGAAAATCAGCTGACAGAATAGGGGCCACTGCAGAACAGGAAGGCTGGACTCAAAGACACTCACAGCCAAGGGCCCCACAGATGACAGAACGAAAATGGCCAGTGAGCCTAAGTAGTAACCGAATTCAACCTTCTAGTAATCAAAGAAACACAAACAACAAACTTACTAAGTTCCAGGTAGATTCACAACTCCTTTTCAAAATGCTCCGGGTAGCCAGTACTGCTTTTCCTGGTGGAACAGGGGCTTTCAGCTGTTGACCTGGCAGGGATGTATTTCTTGTGATGCACCGACGCTCCCCAGTCTCTTGACCGCATGTGGTTGCCACTGAGAGCCTGGGTGTCCACCTCTAGGGTCTGGTTTGTGTCGCAGCCCTTTGTGGAACACTGAGTCCATAATATCAACTTCACAATCACCAGACTATAACCAGTAGTCCACGCTTGGGGTCCAGAAGGTGAAGAGAAACCTCCAGTGTTTCCTCCATCACTCACCAGTGAGGCAATGAAACAAGTATCCATCTCAACAAAGATTCAGCTTCCTGCTTGACCGTAACCAACAACAGGACCAGCTCAGACCTTTAAGGAGGCAATATACCACTCTGAGGCAGGAGCCTGCCCCAGTGGCCATGTCAATGGACTAGAGGAAGAAGACCATGTCAGGACCCAGTCATAAGTCCCACCTGGATCTTTTCTCTTCTCTCTGAGGACCTCGGGGCAGAGCAGACTCTGCCTTCACTTTTTGTCTCACTACCCACAAACTTATTTTTGCCTTTTCATACTGTTCATGGGGTTCTCAAGGCAAGAATACTCAAGTAGTCTGCCATTCCACTTCTCCAGTTCAGTTCAGTCACTCAGTCGTGTCCAACTCTCTGTGACCCCATGAATCGCAGCACGCCAGGCCTCCCTGTCCATCACCAACTCCCGGAGTTTACTCAAACTCATGCCCATCGAGTCGGTGATGCCATCCAGCCATCTCATCCTCTGTTGTCCCCTTCTCCTCCTGCCCCCAATCCCTCCCAGCATCAGGGTCTT